ATATATCATTTAAATATGAAAATATTATACAAGTGAATGTAAATGTTTTTATATACTATGTAAATACATAAGAGTTTATTGGTAAATATGTAAATCCCTCTTTATTATTTTATTTTTATAAACTTTGATAATTTTGTAGTTATTTATTTAAATTATTAGTAAATATTAAGCTATAAATTATATATTTAAAATAATTAATATATCTATGAATTTATATAGTTAAGATATAATTGATGATAAATCTTAAAATATTATTAGTATTATATTTTAATTGTGTTATTAATTTAATCTTAACATTTTATGATGATATTATTTTCGAAAAAATAGTTACTTTGATGTTTTTCATTCATATCTTTGATTTTGTTTTAATTAACTTAATAGTAATGTTTATAATATTTTTTTGATAAATAATAAATAATAAATGATTATTAAGTTTATTATTAATTTAATATTTAAGATAAATGCGTATATTGGATCTCTTTAAATGGAAGGCAAAAAGATATATCTAGCATCAAGATTCAAAACTCAACATAAATCTGGAGTTAGATTTTGATGGATATCCATGATTATGGGTATCAGGTGATCTTTTGATTAATATCTGATGTTGCGGGTTAGTGAGCTTCAACAAAAGGCCATGACAAACGTTAAAGATTTGAATGCTAGATTGCTAGTGAATTTCAACTAGTTTAAGATGTCGAGTGATATTGGTTATTGAACATCTGGCATTGTGAGCGAATGAGCATTGGCAAAAAGTGATCAGTAATGTATGGAGTTGGGTATTACTTAATTTTGGGAGTTCATTGTTGGCAAATTTCAGATAACTCGAAATATTAGTCAACGTATCTTTGGTGTTGTGAGTCATAGTAATGTATGGAGTTGGGTATTACTTCATTTTGGGAGTTGATTGTTGGCAAATTTCAGATAACTCCAAATATTAGTCAACGTATCTTTGGTGTTGTGAGTCAACAGTTGTTTGGCTTTGGTGTACATCATACAATTATGCATGTTAAGTTGTATTAATTTATTCATGTTTAGTTTCGTGACTTAAAATAGATTATCAAATATTGAGAGTTGAACCATATGAGAGTTGAAGGGAAAAAAGAGATGATACCATGGTGTTTTTTCTTATATTTGAGTTTTCATATGAAAAGAAAATGACAGTGTTCTCACAATGTGTGATAAATAGAACTTATTTGAACTCGTTTAAAATGCTTACAGAAATGAGGCTCCTCAAGGTTAGCTACGCTTGATGAAATCTCTAAAAAACACTTGATTATTGAAGATATACTTGTATTTTAATTTGTTTACGTTAACATTTCAAGCCAATGTCAAACAAATTGAACCGAATACGAACATAAATTTTACGAACAAATTTGAGTACTTCTTTTCTTTTCTTTCCTGAACAAGGTAGTTATGCCTAAATTTTCATAAAGGGAATTTTTTGTAATATTGTCTTAGATAAATAACATGTCTTGTTATTTAACTAATTGTTGTTTTGTCATTTGTAAATTCAAACTTGATTATCAAATGATTAGCTTGAATTTACAATTTTTTTTTGACATTTTTATAGACATTATTTTATTCTTATTTTACTTTCTTTTTCTTTATTCATAGGAAATGAGTGAGAAAAAACACAAATTTCTTACAGTTGCACCTTTTAAATGTACGTGGAATGAAGGTTTAAAATTTAGGGAGGCGGGACGTGGATGTATTAAATTTGAGGCTTTTGCTCAAAATGATGTCACCTTGGTGTTTAGAGAGCAAATTGGTAGCCCTAATTACCATTACAAGATGGATAATAGCCCCCACTATACTGTCATATTGGGCAGTAATCGTAATCGTAGGTTGAAGATCGAAGCAAATAATAATACTATGGTTGACATTGTTGGTGTAGGCTTATGTTGTTCATCGTCATTTCAGAGCTATTGGATCAGTATATATGATGGACTTATCTGTATCGGCGAAGGGAAGTATCCATTCCAGAACACAATTGTTCAATGGCTTGATTCGAAACCTATTTGCAGTGTTCAATATGTTGGATTAAGCAGTTGGGACAAGCATGTAGGGTATCGAAATATTGTTATATTGCCGGTGAATCAACATCACCGTAATCTCTTGGGCCAAATAGACTACGACGAGTATGAAGCAGAGAATGACACGGAGTTTGAGATTCTTAATATCAATAATGATGAGCATGGTAAACTGGAACTTCTGTATTTTTTGGAGAGTTGGGATTTTTCTGATTTAATGTTTATTGTTGGCGTTGAAAGAAAAATTGTTCCTGCGCATAAAGTTATTTTGAATGTATATGGTGATTTCTCTTCCGATACTTCTAGTGAGAATATCATTAGCCTAACTGCAACAACATATCCAGTTCTACATGCATTTTTGGAATATATTTATTCTGGTCGAACTAAGGTGAGTAAAATGGCCAGTTTACTCTTTTGTACAGTAAAGCGATAAAGTAGTTCCATGACTGTTTACATGGGGCCATTTTAGTTCCAGAGTTTATACATGTGTCAAATTATTCCCCAAACTTTAAATTAAAGCTGAACTAGTCCTCAATGGGGGGCAATTTCAGCACATATTAAAAGAGTTTGGGGACTGAATTGGCACTTTTATAGACTGTGGGACTAAAATTGACTATTTTGACACTTTTCTCCTTTTTTTTGAAATATTACTTTTTCATGTAATAAATTTCATTTTCTTATGTTATTATTTAGGTTGTGGAGTCACAACTCGGTTCCTTGCGGAATCTGGGCGTGCAGTTTCATGTGATGTCATTGATTGAGCAGTGCGATGAAATTTTGGATCATTTTAAGACTAAAAAGAAATCCTTTGATTCTGGCAAGCAAGTAGAAATATTGAATAATAGTTGTGCAGTTCAACCATGTGGCATCTTCCCATATGGAGAGACTGCTGCAGTTGGTAAGCTTAAGCAATTCCTTGCAAGTGGTGAGCATAGCGATGTAAACATTTATGTTGAAGGATATGGTCTTGTTACTCGGTCGCACAAATTGATTCTTAGTTTGTGGAGTGCTCCATTTGCAAAGGTTTGTATGCTTTCCTCATTAATTTTTATTTTAATACAGTTTATTATCGAACCGCGGTGCTTTTCTTATGGGGCATCTGTATACATTATTTACATGTATAACATCTAAAATTTTTTACATTTATACCACCCAAACCTTTTATATCACATAAAAAAAACCACCATTTTGGCTTTTAAAAAGTGTAAAACACTTTTTTTTTTATGCATAGGTGAGATGGCATATATATGTAAAAATTGATGTTTAGGTGTTAGATATGTATTTACGTTATGATTTTGGGCTATTTAATTAAATGCCCCTTTTTATTTGTCTGCTCTATACTGTTTTTTTAATTCTTATATGAAATATATCTTCAATGTTCTCAGCGCCTAATGTAGAATGCAATTGACTTTGCCCAATCCTATTATATATGTGCTCGCTCTTATTTTTTATTGAAATCCATTATGTGCCCTCACTTATGTTTTTTAGAATCTAGATGTTCACAGGTGGAATGGTTGAGAGTAAATCCACAAATGTTACGTTTAGTGATGTGTCTTCAGAAGCTTTTTTAGCCATGCTGCACTTCATGTACAGTGGGGAACTTGAGATCGAAAAGGATAAGGTTGACTCTTTGTTAATCCCATTAATTTTGCTAGCCGACCAATTTGACATCACATTCCTCCAACGAGAATGCTGTAAACGCCTTTTGGAATGTATATCCGAGGTACTTCAGTTTTTTTGCTTGTTAGCTAATGCAATTCGTTATGTATAGTTTTCGTATAATTTACTCTTCATTTTTTGAATGTTTTTTTTTTTTGTAAGTTTGGAGAAGTAGAAGAGAAACAAGGTAACATTTGTTTATTCATTGACAGTATTTTAAATAATTGAATTTATTAAATTTGAACTTTTGTAGTGTCTCTTTAAAATTATGATTTAATTAGCAGCTTTGCAACATGTGTCATTCATATCTATCATTCTTTTGAGGCATGTGTGGCTAGTACACGAGTCTAAGATTGGTTTAGGTTTATGACACAAACGGGCTCATTACAATATATTTTTCGCTTTATGCCCTTGTCCTTGGGTTTATATCCTGAAAGCTGGTGGATCACGAGCACATTACTATTCATGTTCTTTGCTTGTGTTTGCTATATCACAGCATGTTCCGATAGTATAACTTTGTGCTTCTCTGACAGGAAGGTCTTGTCGAAGGCTTAGCACTTCTGGATGTGTGCGTTGAGTTCGATAAAAAGGGGGGCATTACATACATAGCACACAATTGTTTTTTATTTACATATATAACACCTAAACTTCCATATTTACGTACATAACACTCAAATCTTTGACATCACATCAATAATAGCACTATCACTAATCTTTTAAAAGTGAAATACACATTTTCATGCATATATTTTTAACTTCAAGTTGTTGTAAATGTATTTATCAAACTTTAGGTGTTAGAAAATGCATAAGAATTGTGCGGTATGTAAGTAAATTTTCCTACAAGGAAAAAGATGATAGCTTCAATAATATGCTACATTTTAACTTTATTCTCTTAATTTTTGACTGTAACTTAAAATTTCTATTTTCATTCAAGAATTTTCATCAACTGTGAGGATTTGCTCGAGCAGCCATATTCAACTTATTCAAAACCATGGTGGGTTGGGGACCAAGGGAATGTATATCATCTTTCAATCATGAGTTTTATCATAATTATGTGCACATTTTTGACACATTTAAGTTGGTGATTGAGGATTTGCAAATGGGCCCCTTAGAATAAGTATATCCAAGGTGAAGAATACAAATATATTAATACATTTCATGTGCATGTATATGCAGGGTTGGTGTTGTCCTCCTGGAAGAAGATCATCCATCAAACTTAGTTGTATTTTGTAAATTCTATGGACAAAGGCCTCTGAAGATTTTGAAGAAGTTGCTAAGTGTCTTAAACTCTAACATCTCACAATTTGTTGCAGGATACAATCTGCCCCATTTTAGTTGCAATTGCATCACTTCTTTCTTGTAAAGTGGTTGAAGAAACATGCAAGAGGGAATTTTCGATGCACTTTGATTATTGCACGACTGTGAGCACGGACTTTGTCACATTAGATGAGACTATTTTCAAGGACATCCTTCAGGTAAATTTCTATGTTGCATAAATTTATTTGCATGTGAAACTTATATGTCAGGCTTTTTTACAAGAAAACTTTTATTGCTTGGATATATAACAATTTCGATGTAAAGATATTTAAGATAAGGCTAAAATATAATGATGCAGAAGCTAGAGTTTTATTTCAGTTCATATGTCTTGGTTTATGTGTTTTAATTTGTTGTTGTGTCTATGTTTTATGATGACATAGCTGTAATTTGGAGAGTCTAGCCTTTATAAATAGCAACTGTTTTGTGTGGGCTGGGGATGGAGAATTTTTGATTGGTTTTAATAATATTTTCTTTATTCTATCGGGTTAAGAAGTCTGTTCATTATTCTGGAGTGGCGCCCAAGTAATGATCAAATATATTTTTTTTTTCAGTTAATGCATTTTTATCTTCCTAAGGATTTTTCTGTTCAGCTTCTCTCTTTTTCTTGAATTTTTGAAACTGCAGATTTCAGTTATGCCTTGTTATGGTATCATATAGATTAGAAGTATCATATATTTAATTGATATTCCAATCTTATATTTACCAAGTAATATTGTACAATTATTGAGGTTTTTATCCTTGGAAAGTTACGTATCTGTTTGATTAGGATTTTTTTCGAAGATTCTGATATTGGTATGCTGAGACAAATCATATATTTGCTGCTCATCCAAGTCACAAAAATCCATTTGAAAGTAGTATGGTGTCAAAATAATTGTTTACATGGGGCCATTGTAGTTCTACGGTCTATATAAGTGTCAAATCAGTTCCCAGTCTCTTTAAATTAGGGCTGAAGTAAGCTTCGTTGGTAACTATTTCAGCTCATATTGAATATTGAAGAGTTTGGGAACTAAATTGACATTTTTTAAAAATTTGGAACTAAAAGGACCCACTATAAAGAGTTGAGGGACTATTTTGTGATTTTTTTTTTTGATTTGAAAGACTATTGAGTGATATTATGATTGCCAGTCTTGATTATTTCTAGGCCAAACCTTCATTATCTTGTTTGTTTGCGATCAATCAAAAGGCTTATATTTTTTTCTTTTTCTATGGAAGAATTTTTATTTATTACTTTACCTTGCATTTAATTTGATCATGATTAACCATATGAGTCTAAGATAATGATAATTTCTTCTGAGAAGATTTGCTCTTAAGAAACATCTGATGATTTTAGTAATGTGCTTTTCAGCATGTAGATATGACTGTAACATCTGAAGAGAGGGTTCTTGACGCAATTTTAATGTGGTCCATGCAAGCCTCTAAAAATTGTGGTTGGCTTCTAGTGGATGAATTTTTGAACTCTTTGACACCAGAGCAGCTATTTGGAGAGAGGCTTTTATCATTAGACAATCTATTGCCACTTGTAAGGTTCCCTTTGATGCCATCCCATTTACTTGAGAAGGTAGTTGTTCTCTCGTATACATTTCGGTATTAGCTTCTTATGTTTAGAAGCTTAAACTATTTTTCTGAAATTTACCTATGATTTTTCTTAAATAATTTTGCAGTTAGAGAAGAGCAGATTATGCAAGCATATTTTAATATTCAGCCAACTTGTATGTAGCCTTATCTTGTTATAAAGTCCTCTACCCTTCTTTATATTCTGGCTCACTTTCCTCTAATAGTTTCTTTGACGAGAAAGTTGTCAAATCTCCCGACTCTTTACAGGGGTTCAGTTGAGTCCTCGAATTTATAAAAGTGTCCATTTAGTCCTTAGAGTTTTATAATATGGGTTGAAACAGTCCCCAGTAAGGACTATTTTAGCCCCAATAAAATAATCTAGGGACCAATCTAACAAATTTATAAAATTCGGGATTTAAATGATCCTATTTAAATAGTTAGTGGACTAATTTGGCACTTCTCTCTTTCTTTGACGCACTATCCGATAAGCATCGTTTCAAATGATACGGCAGGTGAAAGAAGCTGTTCAGTATTCCTGTGTGGGATCAAAATTGCTGGGAGAAGATCAAAAGTGAGACATATTTGGAACCCATTATGCAATTATTTAAAGAAGTTTTCTCTCTTTTGAAATACTGTAAACCATTAACATGGATGAATCCTTGTAGTGTAAGATCTCAGCATAGGCGCTCAAGCTTCAAAGAGCTCCAATTTATATGTGATGGTGATAATAATGGAGTTTTATATTTTTCTGGGACATCATATGGCGAACATCAATGGATGAATCCTGTTCTAGCCAAGGTAAAATATTTGGTTTCACGATATTATTGAAATTTATTCGAAATATTTTTTTATTCAATTATTTTTCATAATTTTCAGAAAATTACAGTAACATCAAGTAGCCCTACCTGCAGATACACTGATCCAAAGGCATTAGTATCAAGAGCTTACAAGGTATGACTTTTATGGTCTCTTAAAAATATTATCAGAGTATATTGAGCAATATTGTGAAGCACACTTTGTGCTCGGGAACAAACAGCCTACATCTTTTGCTGGACCTCGGATTGAAGATGGTCGAAGCTGTACGTGGTGGATGGTTGATATTGGCCATGGTCACCAGGTTATTATTTTGAGCCTTAAAATTCTCTCTCTCCACACCCACACCCACACCCACACCCACACCCACACACCTACTCATTTCATTTTGTTCAAAACAACATTATGCAAATATTTTTTGTTGCTCAAATTGCACTAAGCATCATGTATGAGATTTTAAGATTATCATTGGCATTCAAAACAAACAATGTTATCAATTTTAAGATATTTTTTATGGTATTAATGGCACAATAATGTTGATTTATATCTAGCAGTCAATTAATCATTAGTAGAATGACTTTGTCTAAGACCATATGACCAACTAAGTACATGTAGATTTCTAAGTTTATATCCTAAATTGAATGAGTCTATTAAGCTTACTTATAATAATAAAAAACGAAGGCTTATAAGCTCTCAAAATGAGTTTTCAGAATCATATTCCTAATTAATGTTCTATCAAATTTGATTTTTCTTCTTATTGTCTCTCATCTTTAAAAGAATAAATCACCCTTTGTTTGGACAACCAATTTAAGATTTTAATCTTGAAGCATGGCTGGTTGATTTCTTTGTTAATTGGTTTTATTCACAGCTTTTTATAAGGAATTTGAAATATGAATATGAGCATCATACATTCCTTCAACTTATTTTTTAGGGAAATTTACATACATACCACACAATTTTTGTGTATTTACATATCTAATACCTAAAGTTTGATCTTTACACTTTTAACGCCTTGATGTCATAAACCTATGTATGAGAAGGTGCATTTCACTTTTAAAAAGATAGTGCTGATGGTATTTTTATGTGATGTGAAAGATTTGAGTGATATGCATGTACATACGAGAGTTTAGGTGATGGATACGTAAATACCTAAGAATGTTTGGTATGTATGTAAATGCCCAATTTTTTTTATCATCTCTTTGGTATCTTATTAACAATGTTTTTGCTATAAAATGCTACATGAACATGATTGTTGTTTGTAGCTACAGCCAAGGAACTTACCCATTTAATTTGCTTCTATTAACAGCTTATGTGCAACTATTACACCTTCAGGCATGATGGCTCCACAAATTTTCCACGCTCATGGGCCTTCCAGGTACTCCCTTTTGATTATACACTTTTAAACTTATTATTATTCTTATGTAGGACAAAAATATCAAATAAATGACTTTTTGTGTTGATTTAAATATTTTCTTATTAACTTTTGAAATAATACTTAGTATCATATTTAATTAATTAAATATATTTTAAACTTTAATCATTTAAAATTGAGCATAATGATAAAAGATTTGTGAGAGTAAGCACTCATATTCATATATGCAAAATAGGAGATTTACATGCTACCAAACAATTTATATGTACATACGTTCTAATGCCAGAACTTTAATACTTGAATCCTTAATTTCAAATAAAAAAATAAAAAAACATCAGCATTTTTTTTTTTCAAGTGAAATGCACATTTTCATGTAGAAACCCTGATGCGATTGTGACAGTAAAATTGGGTTTTTTTTTTTTAATGCAATATGAAAGGTTTGGGTGGTATAAAAGTAGAAAAAGTAAAGTTGAGATGTTAGTATGTAAATACATAGGCCACCTTATCTAATGCATGAAAGTTGTATTTCACTTGAAAGATTTTGGGTGACATAAAACTAAAAAATAAGAAAAAAAAGTGAAGTTGAGGTGTTAGATATGTAAATTCACAGGAAGTGGGTGGTATGTGTGTAAATAGGGCTGTCAAAACGGCTCGTTGTTCGCGCATGTTTAGGTATCAGCGGATGCATCTCAGTGTGCAACAGACGTGCTTTGGAGGTCTCTCATAACAAGTAATCCTTCACTTGGAAAACTTGCTACTATATTCAATTAAAAAACTAGCGTCTTTTTTTCAATGATTTTTGACGCCCATGGAGACTTTCATTTCATAGAAGAATCTTAAAGAACTTTAGAGCTCAAATTTGCAATTGAAACTAATGATTTCCATCAACTATCATTGTTATATGATTATTAGTATCTATTTGTCGACGTTTGACTATCGTCACCAAATAGTCAGCCTATTTTCCATCATCCGACCTCTATCATTCAACCATCACTACCTAACCACTATTGCCCAAACATTATTCTCTAACCATGCAAATTGTCAGACTTACCACCATCACCCAACAAATATCAATTGATCATCATTATTATCTTTTGATTATTTCTAATTTACCACAATTACAAGAGACCAAACTTCAATGCATTACTTTATAATCTCATATTCTCCAATTGAGAATAAGATAAGAACTTTGTAATTTTATTAATAAATTAGTTCATTTCATATGGGCCAGGCCCCACGTTTTCTTTTTTATTTTCAAATTTTTGACATAAAAATTATAGTGCCTCTCCTCAATTTTAACAATTTTTGTGCAAATCTAAAAGATATAAAATACATATATATGCAATCTTTTTTGAAGCATATACATTTCATAGTACAACAAATGAAAATGACAACAAATAAGTGCAAATGCATATATATTTCATAGTTTAACATCCTCTATTTTAAGCATAATATGCAATTTTTTTTTTTTCCAATAATAACAAGAGTTGGCAACATGTTATTAAAATAAGCTCATTCGCAATACAATTCCCAAAATTTAAACTAATCATATATATAACCCTAACATTCAAATTCTCCATACCTGCTAGGGATATATGTCAAGAATGTCTTAGGGGTGCCCTTGAAAAGGTCCTCATGAAACCTTATTGGTAGTAACCTTGGCTTAGACAACTTCTGGAAAAAAAAAACAAAATAAAATAAAATAAATAAATAAAAACTTGATATGAATACACAATCAAGTACAATATAATTAAATGAATTGTATTTTAATTTTTTTGGTTTACTTGGTTTGTTATAAACTCACATAATTCTTATTTCATATTTGTTTTAATGAAAACTTAGGTGTTTGCTAATCATTAGCAATGAGCTTCAGGGTCGCGAGCACAAAGGGGTTATGTTGAAGTGCACTTTCAGGACAATTTTGCAAGTGAAGAACTAAAACTTATTTGTACCTTACATTTATTTTACTTTGTACAGAACTTCCTAAAAATAAGAATGTAGGATTCCAAATGCATTAATACTTTAAACAATCGTCCCCTAAACAATTTATTATTGGGGTATTTATATGCACACCACTCAATTTTTATTTAATTACATATATATCGTCTAAACTTCAATTTTACATATATGTCACCTTACCTGTGCACAAAAGATGTATTTCAGTATTTCAACTTTTAAAAGTTGAAAATAGTGGTCTTTTTTATGTGATGAAAGATTTGGGGTGGCATAAATGTCAAAATTAAAGTCTAGGTGTTTGTCGGTCAACTTTTTCGATTGATAGATTTAAAAAAATGAATTTGAAAATAAATTTTGAAATTTAATTTAATATAATAGATATATTTTTGGTTTTGAAGGTAGTATGTTTTAATTTTCGAAAAAAAAAAAAAATGAGACCGAATGGATCTCATTAGCCAATAATTTGCATAATCGTGTCTGACACCCTGAATACTACACATTTCAAGAGAAAAGTGTAGACCCCGATAATAGGCCCAATCCTGCAAACTAAGAGATTTGTGACATCCATTTGGTCTGCGAACCTTTTATATATGACCGACAAATTCCCCTATTTAATACAAAGATTAAATAGGGTTTATTTTACCTGAGTTCCAAGTTCCCTATAGAGGCAAGCCCCTATTATGATGTATTGAGAATTGATATACATACTAAAGAGGAATGAGTTAGAACAAATTAACTCAAATTATTATTGAGGTTAATGGGTACAAGCAAGTGTGCTTGAGAAGTATTTTTCAAAAACTACATGCAAGTACTATTTGAAAAAAATTAAGAAATTGTAAATTAAATTGAGAAAATAAAGTATTTTTTGAAGTCAACAAATGAGCTGCATGCATTTAAGGTTTGTTGAGTTGCATGCATTTAAGATGCATTAAATTTTATTTTTTATAAGTTTTTTGTAAGTTTTTGTAAAATGAGATTTCAAATGCATAAAAATTTACTTCATTTTACTTCTAATTTGAATAAGTGTTTAAAAAAGATGAAATTTTTATTGAAAAGAAAACATTTTGAACTTATTTTAGCTGTGCTTTACATAATTCATTTAAGATTGTGGGTCTGTTTTAAAAGACAAAAATATTGCATCAGAACTTCGCACATATCAGAACTCTGCACGTAAAATTACGTGTGGAGTCCAATGAAATAAGACACGTGGAGGCGACAGACAAAAAAAAATCGGTCTCATAACAGGGGAATATTTCCCGTGTGTTATTTCGTGTTATTCAAATGTTATTGTATGTTATTTATGTGTTATTGTTCTGAAAATATTTCACAATAACACCTGAATAACACACGAGGAATATTTCTGTGTTATTGGACGGATTTTATTTTATTTGACGTGATTTCATTGGATTTCACAAGTAACTCTACGTGCAAAGTCCTAATGAAATATTTTCTTCTAAAAGACGTTGTGAATGGCCTCAATCCTTACAAAAATACTAAAAAAAAGAAATAAACAAATCTTTTAACGAGACACCCAAACAAAAAAAACATTTTAGATTATTAGCACTAATATCTTAAAAGGAGAAGATTGACACTCACTCAATTCCTGTATTTTACATAAACTTCAAATTATATATATATGTATGTATGTATATATATGTATACACCTATCCTATACATAAAAGATTTATCATGTATCTCACTTTTTAAGTCAAATAATTATAATTTTTATGTGATATGAAAAAATTGATTGGTGCATATGTAAAAAAAATGAAGTGTTGTCTATATAAATATATAAGAACTGGGTGGTCTCTATGTAAATGTCCCTCTTATTTTTGTTAATGTTCCTATAAGAAAATTTCCGACATAAAAAATTGCAGGAATAAATTGATCAATTAACTACAAAAATAAAACAGTGTATTTTTTTCTATGACAGACTAATTTACCTGAATGTCCGATTACAAGTAGGAAATTGCAACTTTGCTAATATCTTCATATGTAAGATAAAATAGTACATTTAAACGCACTTTTTATGTACATGGGTAAGGTGACATATATGTAAAAAATGAAATTTAGATGTTAGATATGTAAATACATAGGAATTGAGTGGTATGCATGCAAATCTTCCAATAAATTAATGCAAACTAACCAAAAATTATAATGACATCATCAAAAAATATATCCAAACAAGCCTGAATTTTGATGCAATTTTGGAATTGATAGCTTTAAAATTAAATTCAAGAGCACCATATTTCAACAACTTCTTGGCCAAATTCAATTTCTTTGTGAGACAAACCTAATGTCATTAACAAAGTTCTGATGCAGGTCCAAATAAACATAAAAGTGTATATTTAAAGCTCCAAAAACTATAGCAAAATTAACTGAAAACAGTCCCCAAAACATCATTTAATTGTCCTCCAAATAGCATTAAAACAACAAGTAAAGCTCTCCAAAATCAGCATTTAAATGGTCATTGGAATCTCACAATATTTGCATTTAAGTGCTTGAAACATGAAACCAACAATGAAGCATTTAAAATCAACAATAACATATAATCGAAATAGTGTTTATGGTTCTCCAAAATCAGTAAGAGTGTATGGTCAAAGCAGCGTTTATAGTTCTCCAAAGATCGATGTCAAACATATGAATATACAATAATAATTCGATGGAATGCAGTAAACATTTGCCACTAGTTGCACTTAGTTGTATTAATATGACTAGAATCATTTTTTTTTTCATGTTATATTTGTCCAGTCAAAGTTAATCACAAAAAAAAAAACTTCTTAAGTTACATAATTTAGAACAAAACTTTTCTAGAATGAAGAACCATATCACACTTCAATAGAAGAGCAGATAAAATTATCTTATGCTGAGAAAGAAGAAGTGATTGATTCAGGGTATATGGTGTACACTCAATAATCAATAACACAGATTTTCTTTTATTATTGAAAAAAAAAAAAAAAAAATTTAAATGAAAAGGGAGTTCAAGAAACATACCTGCAACTGTGTAGAGATTTTAGTTGGAAGGCCTTACACACAGCGATCCCGTGGCTAACTCTAATCCCGAGTGTCAAACAAGAAACGCGACGAGGGTATCGGGCACGGGTAGGAGAGCCGACGGGAGAGGCGAAGCAGGTGAGTGTTTCAGTGCAGATGGGAGTTCGCAAGAGAGGAAGCGAAGCAGGTGAGGAAGAAGATCGCGATTCGCGAAGTTGTAGAGGCGAGAGTTTGGTCGCCTGGGGCGAGCAGGACTTATAGATCGGAGCTTCTTCAGCGTGAGGAAGAGGGAGGCGATCGGGGGTCTTCGGCGGAAGAGAAGAGATCGCGCGAGAGGGAGGTGAGGCAATTGAAGGTCTCGGTAAGTGGTGAAGATGAATCGTACCGAGAGGAAGGCGAGACTTTCGAACGGGAGTCGATGCTTCTCTGTGAAGACGAAGAGGAGAGCTGCGGGTTTCGGGTCGTGGAAGAATAGGGAGAAGGCGAGTGCGGGAGGCGTCGAGCGGGGTCTGCGGGATTCCTCGGCACAGCAAGGAATCGAGCGAGGGAGATGAGCAGGAGCGATCGTGCGGGCAAGGAGACGAGTCGAGCAGCGTCGTTTTTTTTTTGTTCGAAAAAAATAACAAAATAAAATAAAATAAATAAAAAAACTTGATATGAATACACAATCAAGTACAATATAAATAAATGAATTGTATTTTAATTTTTTTGGTTTACTTGGTTTGTTATAAACTCACATAATTCTTATTTCATATTTGTTTTAATGAAAACTTAGGTGTTTGCTAATCATTAGCAATGAGCTTCGAGCACAAAGGGAGGGTCGCGAGCACAAAGGGGTTATGAGAGCGAGAGTTTCAAAGAGCGAAATTTGAAGTGCACTTTCAGGACAATTTTGCAAGTGAAGAACTAAAATTTATTTGTACCTTACATTTATTTTACTTTGTACAGAACTACTTTGTACAGAACTTCCTAAAAATAAGAATGTAAGATTCCAAATGCATTAATACTTCAAACAATCATCCCCTAAACAATTTATTATTGGGGTATTTATATGCACACCACTCAATTTTTATTTATTTACACATTTAACGTCTAAACTTCAATTTTACATATATGCCACCTTACCTGTGCACAAAAGATGTATTTCAGTATTTCACCTTTTAAAAGTTGAAAATAGTGGTATTTTTTATGTGATATGAAAGATTTGGGGTGGTATAAATGTCAAAATCAAAGTCTAGGTGTTACATATGTAAATGCATAAGAATTGGATTTTATGTAAGTCCTCTTTACTTTATAATTAGCTTCTGTCTACACATTTGCTGCAAGTGTGCTTCTTTGAACTCTTTCATCATTATGCAGCAAAGCTTCCCTTCTATTTACTTTTTGATTGATTGGCTTAGGATTAGTTCCTTTTTATTTCTTACTAGTGACAATCTTTTATTCTTTTAGGCTCTCACCTAGCATATTTCTTTGTTTTCTCTGACTTGTTTGGTATACTGGGAGGTGAAAGTTTTTGGAAGGCGCCACTCGCGGTCTTTTTAAAGTTTTTTGATCAGTCCATATCCTACTTTTTTTTATCATCAAGTTTTGCTACCAAGTACTTCTATAAAACTGCAATGAACCACCATGATGTGTTTTGTTCTGTATCAATTAAATAATGCTCTTCTTTATTACTGTTAATTTTGATACTATACTAGGCCCTAAAACTCAGGAGTGCCCATATTGGCATTGATTGCTTCACTTGCTAGAAGCCATAAGATCAAAAGGCATGATTGTCCATTGATTGCTATAGGTCGTTACATGAAATAGGGGTGTCAAATTGAGTTCATGGGTAGAGTTTGGGCCTAACATGAACTCGAAACTCTTTGACCCAAACCGGACCTAAATATTAAACAAGTCAAAAAATCTAGCCTGAACTTGAACCCGACCTACTTACAATCTAATTGACCCAAAAATGACCAACGTAACACATTTAAGATATGCATAACAACCATTTGAGTCAAATTTGGGTCATATTTAAGTCAAGTTCGGGTCAAATTTGAGGCTATCTCAGATTAATGGGTGAAATTTGAGTAAATTTCAGGTTGGCAGATTAATTTGGGTCAAATTCAGGTTAGCAACTCAATCCAAACCCGAATCGAAAACTAAATTGCATTGGAATTTTCAACCCAAATCTCGCACGAAAATTAATCAAGTCAACCCATACTCAAATCTCTCAAGTTAGGCTCAAGTCGAGCTGATTTGTCGGGTCAAATTTTGACACTCCTACATTAAAATGGGAACATGTCCGGCGGATCAACTGGTAGAGTTGTTTTCAACTACTTATTATTGTCATAGTAACTTAACAAAATTCCCTAGACCATGATTTACGAATAAAAAATTCATAGACTACCATCACAACACTATCAGTCACTAAAGGTTGCCAAAAGACAATTTAACATAGCTCATGAAAATAAGGTTATCTTTATTGCTCATATATTAGTTGTTCCCACGTTGCTCGTTGGACACCCATAATATAGGATTCTAAGTAAATTTGGGATGAGGTTCCCCAGTGGTTCTTACTCTTAAGATAAACTAGTGAACATGAGGTTGCTTACACCCTTTTTAATTGATTTACTCTGAGAATAAAATATAAACCAATTCATAGGAGGTTTAATTAATCATGAAAAGTGATCAAATCTATGTATGAACCACCATTAGGTTGAGTGCGATATATTAATTTTCTATATATTATAATTTGGTTGTTGAATCCATTTGTCCATTAATTCTTCTAATCTCAAAATTTAAATAAAATTAAATCATAGAAGTTGTACGCTAAACATGATGCTAATTAAATGAAGCAATTTTTAAAATCATTTTAAAAAATAAAGTAATCCCATTCATAAATTTCTAAATTGAATAACAATAAAACAAGTCCTCTAAATAATTAAAAAATATCTCAATATACCTGTTAAATGTCATGTATTGAGTTTAGTATTATTACAATTAAAAATTAACGGTAAATTAGATTGATTTTTGGTTTAAGTTGAGCTACAGTTATCAATAAGTTGATTTAAGATTATGCATGTTAAAAAATTTGTGGCGGTAGAATAAGCGGTTTACGTCTTTCGTTTATACAAAGATTTACCATACACAAATAAAAAGAACTTTAAAAAAAGTCAAAATTTTTATATAAAAAACAAGGAAAAAAATGTGGATCGTGTCCCAAATGAAATAATTTATTATACATATGACGTAACAAAAACACATACTTTCTCACATTTATAATTTATTAATTATATCCCATTATATAGTTTAGAAAAGAATCCAAATAATTCCCCAACTATTTGTTGATACCGAAGGTAACCTAAACCACAGCTTAGAAGCGACAAATTTTATTGTTGAAATTTAAAAGCAAGCACAATGACATCTCCTTACCAACAAGGTTACGAAGATACGAAGCAAAAACACATAAACACTAAGACAAAATGACACATAAACAGTAAGAAAAATAATAAATGCAAAAATAGAATCAACATAAAGTAGAAACAGTCCTGGAATGTGATGAAACCGGTGTGATAGCCTCGAAAGGCTGTTAGAAATCCGCCGAGGTGAGCCTAGGGAGAGATGGATGACTGCTAGTGACACCTAAGGAGGCGACAATTCTAGAGGCTAACAATCGAGGGTGTTGTAGTAGGTTAGCCATGCTGGAGGTAATGCTGGAAGAATCCTGGAGGGTGATCGCCTGCTGTGGAGTGACAGGGCCGTGCGACCGAGGAAGGGGGAAGCGCAAGAGGATGGTGTGGTAGCCTGATCGAAGTTGGCGGCCCATCGGTGTCGCTGGAGAGAGCCGGGAGACTGTACAACCTGCTGGGCAGAGTTGGGAGGGCGGCAAGAGGGCGACGCCTTGGGGATTTTCTTTGTTGCATCGTAGGGAAAAATATCAAGCAGCGGTTTCACATTGCTCAAGCTAAATTTTCCTACAATAGATCAACAAGCCAGACCACAGGACACACCATTTGAAATTGTGTACGACAGCAACCTGATCACACCCTTGAGTTGGTCCCACTTGTACCCCTCGCAGAGATCAACGAGGATGCTACGGAAAGTGTCTATCAAACTTAGCAACTCCACGAGAAAGTTGGGAAAGCAATTTCTAAGCAGAATAACAAATATAAAACACAAACAAACGGGTCCAAAAAATATGACTGTATGACTGAAAAAAAAAGAACGATTTCCTGTAAGAGAATACAACTAAGACAACATTTCAAAAAGGCGACCTCGTGTGGATATGACTGAAAAAAAAGAACGATTTCCTGTAAGAGAATACAACTAACTCAAGCCCAGAGTCGATGAACATTTCCGCATTAAAAAAAAAATGAACGACAACGCATGCAAAATTGACCTGTCAGAAGATTCCAAGATTTTAGCAACATCCAAAGTTGCAGATCTCACTCAATATTATGAGGAACCATTTGTCGAAGCTCCTTTAACCCCGGGGATTGACGTGAGGCCGGTCACGCTCCTCACCCGGAAGTGGCAATTGAACCGGTCCTGCTAGATTGGGACCGGTTCAATTACCACTTAAGGCTCGCGATTCCTCTCGACTCCTATTCCGCGATCAATTCCTTCCTGGCCCTAGTCTTTTGCCTCCTCCTAGGAGTTGCAACAAACCTCTTCATTTCCTACAATTTCCTCCCCTTCCTTTCTTAGATCTTACCATTGCTAGTTTCTAGTCTTCTCTCTATTTATGTGTTTTTACTTAGGCAATAGACACTAGTTCTTTTTCTGATTTTCGGTGTTCTTCCTGGTGTTCCCTCTTCGGGGGTTGCACCCTTTGGCGAATGGGGCTACGACTGTATCTCGCCTCAAGTGGTGTGTATCCCCACTCTACCCCTCCTCCCAGCGTCGCCCTTTAACGCCGACCTCCTAACTCTGTCCGACAGGTAGTCCAACCTCCCAGCTCTCTCCTGGGGCACCGACGGGCCACCCACTCTTTACAGGTTGTCATGCCATCCTCCTGTGTTTCCCCCTTCCTCAGCCGCACCTCCTCGTCACTCAACAGCAGGCGGCCGCCATCCAGGATCCTTCTAGAGCCACCTCCAGTTCGGGCTAACATGTTCCTGTTTCCTCGGTTGTCAGCCTCCAGGATTGCCATCTTCTTAGGCGTCGAACAGCAGTCGTCCGTCCCTCCCTAGGCTGACCTCGACAGATTTCCAGCAGCCTTCCGGGGCTATCGCACCGGTTTTGTCACATTTTAGGATTGTTTCTACTTCATGATGAGTATATTTCATGTTTACTATTTTTCTTACTGTGTATGTGACGTTTCGTCTTACTGTTTCTGTGTTCTTTCTTGCTCTCTACGTTTCCTTGTTGGTAAGTAGGCATCATTGTACTCGTTTTTGCATTTCAGCAATAAAATTTATGGTGTTTGAGTCGTGGTTTTGGTTATCTCTGGCATCAAAATAATTCCCCGACTATTTGCAGAGAATTATAATGGTCTCAAAGCACGTAAAAGGCTCATTTAGCCCCCATATTATTTTAATAGGGACTAAAACACCCTGTGGACACCCTAAATGGGGACAAATAATCCAGCCAGGAACCATTTTGATATCTATTTAAATAATCTGGCAATTAATTTAACCTTTTACATAGTTTGAGACTATTTTAACCCTCTATAAATGGTTGAAGAATCATTTTGTTCATTTTCTCTCATATGAGTATTACAAGTTGAGCAATAAGTAGTATGCTTACAGAAAATAATACTAGTTTTAGGCTGCTGATTGATCAAGTGAGCGCTTTAGATCCATTTAGTATGCTTACAGAAAATAATACTAGTTTTATGCTGCTGATTGATCAAGTGAGCGCTTTAGATCCATTTCAACTTGGTGAATTGTCCATTGCATTCCCTCCAGTTTCTGTAAATTAACAAAGCAATTGGTATCAAGAGAAAGTAGAATTGATTAAAAGATACTTGAGAGTAAAAGTATACCTTCACAATATCATTGTACTGTCTGGCAATTGAGTCAAAGTATGGATCTACGCCTTGATATTCCCTTAGACGTGTAACCTGACGAGGAGTAAATAAAAAACTGAGGAACAACAAGCAAACTGCCAATGAACAATAGTACAACGCAGGGCTGATAATTATGCTTAGAGTTCAGAAAGGCTTGAATTTTAATCAAATCGAAATTGAAATCAAGCTTTTAATTCCAAGATTGATGGTTCGAAATTAGTTCATTTCAACCCATGCTTATCTTAGAGCTCATACATACATATAACTCGAAACTGTTTACTTTTGACTTGGGTCCAAATAAAAATCGTTAGGAAGATTTACATAAAGACAACTTAATTCCCATGTATTACATATGTAACACCAAAACTTCATTTTTTACAAGCATGCCACTTTACCTATGCATGAGAAGTGTATTTCTCTTCTTAAAAGTTAAAATGTTGATATTTTTTATACGATATAAAAGATTTGGGTGTTACAAAACTATAAATGTAAAAATGTAAAGTTTAGGTCTTAGATGAATAAATACATAGGAATTGGGATGTATGTACGTAAATGCCCTGGATTACTTAAACTAACTTTACAGGCTGCATGAAATGAAAACTGAGCTAATGGGAACTGTGTTGAAGAAAGAACGGTAGTGCATAAACTCTAAATGAGAATAGTTCGCTGCATTCATAGGACTGATCAAATGACAATAAATTCGTATCTTCTATTGGTAGGATATAGTTCATTCAATAATACAGCATGAAATAAAAATTTAATTAATTTCATAAAATGGCACAAAAATGGCCCCAAAGCCAACATTTTAGAATGACAACTCCTTTAATTTTCCTCTTAAGTGAAGATTCAAAGAACGAGCTATTTTCATATGACTCAGAAAATGCATTAAATCTTCAAAGAACAAAGTTATCATGTAAAGCAACCATACCGCTTTATTATAAGCAACGGATGCTTCCTCAGTTGCCTCTACGAGATACTTTCTGCATGGGAGGGAGAAAATGAGGCCTGAATTTAATAATCTTTTCAAACTGATGATGATGAAAATTACAGTCAGATTACCGAATCCTGTGAAGAGCAGGCACAGACTCCTTTGTATAAGTATCGCGCAAAAGAAGATGCTCCAGAACCCTGCAAAAATTTACAGTAAAAAAATTTTAAAAATACTTGAGAATTTATGTAAGAAAACAAAAGTTCCATTAGAATAGAATTGCATTTAAAAAATAATTGAATAAGGGAAGCGTCAGCTGATGACAATGATACATCTAAACAGATGATACAAACCGCTAACCTCAATTTGGCATTCATTGTTTGGCATCTTTTGCAAAGCCAATTTTTCCTCAATTCATCCTATTTCATGGAAAAAATGAGAAACAAGGATTAGAAATGCAAAAACAAGACGAGATTTAATGCCATTGGAAAATTAGAACGCAAATAAATCACTTGAAATATTCAAAGAAACAAACAAGCTAAAAGACTTACAAATTCGTGTTGATGCTGCAATTTTAGGTCCATAACAAACTTAATAAGCACCTCTAGTATTTGTTCTATGACCTGGTTATATCAAGGGAAAAAAAAAGAACACCAAAAAAGATTGAAAAAGCATGAACTAAAGAAAAAATCAGAGAATAAGTGAGACATCGGAAGTGAAAATAATGAACAAAAGATTATTTCCAGAATATACATTGAAGTGCTCTGCAAACTTTCTATCCATCGAGTAAAGATCCTCTAATAAAAGCGCCTCTTCCCTTTCAATCTCTTCAATGATTAACTTAACCCTGAACACCAAACCAAAAAGTGAGAAACTAAACATGGTAAGAAGGAGAATCATAAAGACAATAACAAGTGCATGTGAATGTAAAGCTAATCAACAATTATCTGATATAAAATAACAGTTGGTACATTTCTTATAAGGTTGAAACTATCAATACATATATATATGAATTCCAACCTCCAAATGTATTTTCTTGTAAAAACAAATGACTGTTGAATAAGAATTATATTGTAATCTAAACACTGATTGCTTGTTCTTATGGACTAATGAATTTCGGGTCTTCTGCTAGAAAGTAGGATTTTGTACTAGAGTAGGTCTGTAAGGTTCATTGTATGTGAAAAGAGAACTTCAAATGTGATTGAAGTTATACTTTGTCGCAGTTTTTTCTTACCTAATCTAACTAGGATTTGGTACAAACAAATAACAGTTTTCTGAGTTACATAGAAAAAAAAAAAGAGTAAAATCACAAGGGAGATCCTAAGATGAAATACCAGAGCCTATCAAACATCTGAGAACAAGTGTCACATGCCCAAGTCGATGCCGCCATAAAAGAGCAAGAAAGCAAAATTACAGGACGTGAAATCCTAAGAGGAAATATTAAATCAACTTAAGGGACAATTAATCCAGAAACCTACAGAGCCACAAAAATAGAAGTCTCCCCAATAACATGACATGTAGAAATAGACATGTAGGAAAAAGATTTTAAGAATATTTACATACATTCCACTAAATTCTTATGAATTTACATAGAAAACACCTAAACTTCCATTTTTACACACATACCTTAACTATGCTTGAAAATGTTTTTTTCATTTTTTTAAAGTTAAAACTGTAGTATTCTCTACGCGACTTGAAATATTTGGGTGGCGTAAATGCAAAAAACAAAGTCTAGGTGTTAGATATCTAAATACATAAGAATTGAGTGGTATATATGCAAAAGCAACTATATTTTATCATATGTGGGTCTCTTTTCCTCCTCAATCTGCCTTGGATCCTCTAAGAAAAGAAAAAAAGTAAACTGCTCCAAGGGACAAGTATTCAAGATGTTGGATTTTCTTTTTATTATGCCCTATTCTTGAACATCCATTCTCCTGATTCCTCTTTTTATCAACACTCGTAATTTTCAGAATGTCGTAAATCCAATGTCAACATTTTTAGCGCTCTTGTAGCGACATAATAGGAATAAAGAGAAAATTAGCTTGGTGATAATGATGAGAGTTAGCTATTTATAAAACACGAGGTAAGACAATTGACTACCGAAAAAGACTACTACAACAACAAATCTTTTACCAAATGCAATTCAACAAGAATAAAGCTAAATTAGACAACACAACACAGCTCTTGATAAAAGAGCAAGAAGTTCATGCTGTTACATGCAGGATGTGCGTGATAAATGTGAAGCCAACAATGTAGGCCATAACTGCCAGCAGAATTGCAGAACCCAAAGATATTCAAGTAAATGGAGGTAGGGAGAATAGGGAGATATTGACCCTTGTTCCTAAGGAACAACATAAGAGGCCTCATGTTAAGGCTCGTGATGACATCAGTTCAATGCAAGATAAAGGATCCTTATCCTATGCAATAATCATGCCCCCATCAACATGGCCATTCATCGTTAAAAAACACACATAACTACCACTTCAAATGTTTAATATTCTTTAGTGGGATCCATTAAAGGTTTTATTGAATAAATCGAACATTTCACCAATTTCGAAACCATGACGGCCCCATATGTAATGTCAGTTGTGGCCAAGTGTTAAGCCTTGCCACGTGCTTCACTAGTTTTCAAGTTCTGCTCAGAGAGCAGCACTTTTCTTACAAGGAGTTTCATAGGCGACTTCTTTTCCAATTGTCAAAAGCATCAGAGCTATCAAAGTCCATCAAGTGATTCAAAGTTTTGCACAATGAGCACCACTTCTTACAAGGAATTTCATAGGCAACTTCTTTTCTGGTTGCCAAAAGCATCGGACCTATCAAAATCCATTTTTGTCTCGATCAAGGTGAAAGAAAATCTCTTCAGGCCACACATACATATGTGCATACATACATACATACATACATACATATTTATATTTATATACATATATTATTTTTAAACCTTAAAAATCAACTTAATGTATGCTCTGGAGGCAATGAACCGTTCCTCATTGCCCATACATGATCAAATAGCAAGTTTCATTTTAGTGTGTTGCATCTCGCCATGCAGATGACACTGAGGGTGTGCACTGGCCACTCCATGGTGAGCAATATTTTGTGTCATTGACATGCAAGACCAAATTTAATAAAATGATGTTAGAGATGTTAGACCCAAACCACTACATCAGAAAAGTAGCACTGATCCATGGTTTGAGTGATGATTGTTTCACATTTGTTGTTGCTAGAAACATTGTTTGAGTATTATTGAAGGCAAAAAAGTATATCAATGTTGAGGAGTTCAACAAGAGATTCGAGGCTCCCATCTCTATAACAAATTCGGAGACAACGAAGAAAGGAGATAAGGTGTGCGGAATGATTGCCGTTCATGAGCATTACAATTCTAAACACAAAGAATTTTCTCAATGGAGATGCTTGAACTATCATGCACTTTTATCATATAATTTCAATCATTCTTAACTATAAGTAGGGAGCTATTAATGAGTACATAAAGTGACCTAGAAAAATTTAAGCCCAACCTGAAGGAGTGATTCCAATAAATTTTGTTATCATCACAATGATTGAGTAAAAAAAATGAAAATTGCCACAATATAAAGGCCCTATCAAAAGAAGAGAGATGGTTAAAGAAATTCCTAGCAAAAGTACATCAAGGCCAAAAAAAAAAAAATTTCATTGACAAACACCCATCCTAGTGTGGAGCTTCCAAAAATTTGAGTATACAATGAATCCAAAAACTTGAAATGTGTAATCCAAAATCTCAAACCTATTATTGTTCTATAGATGATGAAATGCATCGCAAACTAATATCTTCAACAGCGTGATGGTCATCAAGACAGTGATAAAAAAGTTCACGTCTTGTCCCACCAACTTTGGTTAGATCGTTCAACATTTAATTCCCTTATAGCTTGAAGTGGCTAGACATTGACCAAAGAATCTTCGCAAATGAAGGGTCAATGGTTGGCTTCACTGCAGAGTTTAAATATCCTAAGTGCATCATTACTCTCACAATTTTATGGGTTGATAATCGATGTTATCAGTTGATTTCATAGTCCTTGAAGCATAATTACCTTATAATGTCATTATTAGATCACTTTTGAGCAGCCACGGTATCAACAAAATTCCCAGCTTTGAAATGAATGGTGATGGTTTGAAGGGCCTAACTCAATCTAAAATGTGTCATCTCAGCATAATGCAAACCCAACCATCAAGTTTACTAAATACAACCAAGAAAAACCGCAAAGGCAATCCATCGATGATCTAGCCAAATTCTTGCATCTAAGGGTGATGATCCTCCTCGACATTTCTAAGTCAGTTCCCTATTACAAGGTAATGACTAAGCCAAACTACTTACATTTTTTAAAAGGTAATGCTATTTTCAAAGTGAGGCTGTGCTCTATATTTGTAACAAAAAGTGTGTGTTGACCTCATTTTTCGTGAGGTCTAGTATTTCTCGTAGGAGTTAGGATCTAGCCTTAACGGTCTTCCTGCGACTATCTTAGAACCTTAGAGTGGTGCCCGCCTCGTTTTTAGTTCGACCTATTTCCGTCCTCTTTTGGAGTTTCGAGTGTGTGGTATCGACCTCTAGCACTTAGAAGGATGAAACAGACATGAGGAAACCCAAAAGGGATTCCTGTAGGACCTTTCTGAGCCTTAGGGTGGCCTTTGCACAATTCGCACTCCCGCGCGCACCGAAGCTTCGCAATTCGGAGAGTCGCTGACGCCGATAGCCGCCATTCCGCACTCCCGCGCGCACAAACTTCGCAATTCGGAGAGTCGATGCCTCTGATAGCCGCAATTCGCATCGCTTGCACTGTTATTTGTCGAGGGCTCCAATAAACCTTTTGAGACGATCGATCGCGGGTCGAAATTATGTGAAATTTGAATTTCGACGCGTTTTTGACTCGATTGTCGACGACGTCGTCCGAGCGATCCCAGATGACAAAACAGACTACACCTGCGCGTCCAGAACGTCGATTTTTCCTAGGGAGGACACCCATTTTGTCGCGTCGCCGCGCGCGAGTAAATCGTGTTTTGATT